TTCGACAGCGTTTCAATTACCTTTCAGTGCCAGGTCACTCAGAGCAGTGATGCTGTGCATGCCATTTGCACCTCTAGATCCTGAATTCCTAAATCCTAAACCCGCAAACCGCCCACCCTACACCCTAAACCCTAAGGGCTCATCTCCTAAACCCTCAGCCCTTCACCGTAAGCCCCTAAACGAAGAAATCGCCCCAGGCCAAGATGCAGGCCCAGGCCGGCTAGAGATCACAGGGCGCGGCCTTTATACGTAGGCTTTATAGGTTTTTCGGGTTCAGGGTTTTAGGGTTTAGGGGTTTAGGGGAACCTTAGGGTTTAGGGGTTTAGGGTTTGTGGGTTTAGGGTGTAGGGGTTTAAGGTTTAGGGGTTTAGGGTTTATGGGTTTAGGGTTTAGGGGTTCAGGGATTAGGGTTCAGGGGTTTAGGGTTTAGTCGTAGTGTCCCTGTATAGTTCTAGTAGGTTCTAGTAGAGTGTAAGCCCCGAAGCCCAAGTGTAATTAGTATAAGGCCCTTATAGCAAGGATTTGTGGAGGAGGTTGGGACCGAACCTACGAGGTTGGGATTTTCAAGCCTTGCAGGTTTTGGGCCTTAGTGTGTCTTTAGAGGGGGGGAGGCGGGGGGGGGGAGGGGGCGTCGATGCTTTGGCAGAGGTTGGAGCAATTCGAGTCTGGGGGCTCAAGGTTTATCGCTCCTGGGCCTGAGGCTGTGGGGTTTCAGACAGATTTTACCCGGGTGGAGAAGAGTGCTGCCCACTATTCAGGTGGTTGTCAAAATGATGGTCCCTTTTTGGGTCCTTATTATAATACAGCACCTATTATTTAGGGTACCCCAAAAGGGACCATAATTTTGACAACTACCCATTTAGGCCCGGAGTTACATCGAAACCCCTTCATGCTCAATCCCGCCTCAAAGCCTAAGCGGTAACCGACAGCAAATTGGCTTTGGCATCCAAGAAGACCTTCGCAGCAGCAGCAGCAGCAGCAACAACAACAACAACAATCAATGGTAAAGTCGTTGTCGCCGTCGTCATCGTCGTCCTCATCTTCGAAACCCTAAACCCTAAACCCTAAACCGTAAGAACTGCGGCTGCCAGGCCGGCTTCATCAAGGGCCAGGCACGGCCACCAGCCGATAAACGTTCCAGACGCGCTGACACTTAAGCACCTACCGATGTCACTTCCTTTTTAGGGTTTAGGGTTTAGGGTTTAGGGTTTGGGGTTTGGGGTTTAGGGGGAAAGTTCCAAGATGTCCTTGGCCTACGATGGCCTGTAGAACCCTCCAGCCAGTAGAGCCTGCCTTGAGGCTTTCCTCTTGCATGTTTCCAGAAATGGGAGTTTCCGAAAATTGGGGTACCTTATTTTGGGGGTGCTTACAATAAGGATCCTACTATTTAGGGTACTATATTAGGGGTCCCTATTTTCGGAAACCCCCAAATGGGTGTGATGTGTCTGATTGCGGAACTCAGAACAACAAAGACCCATTGATACGGATCATACGTGTGGCTTTCATCGGCTTGTTCTGTGGTAGGCTTCTCCGGCCCTGACCGAGTTCGACGAGAGTCCGGTTGACATGGCTCTAAAACCCTGAACTCTAAGTCATCATGTCAAACCTAAATAAAGCACCCTAAACCCTAAACCCTAAACCCTAAACCCTAAACTCTAAACCCTGAACCCTAAACCCTAAACCCTAAACCCTAAACCTTAACCGTATAACCCTACGGCCCTACGGGCCATGGTGAACGAAGCGCACGTGTAGAAACACTAAATCCCTAAGTCTGGGAATTCAGGGCTCTAGGGTTTAGGGTTTAGGGTTTAGGGTTTAGGGTTCGGCTAGGTTTATGAGCCAACATTCTGAACTTCTTGTCTTTCTCTGTGAAAAAAACAGTGCCCTAACAGTGTGCACCTGCTGGCAGCTGTTTTCCAAGCGTCGGTTCGAAGAGATCCGCGCAAGCACTTTGCGTCCGGTGACAGTGATCGGGAAGTCTCCAACTCAAGGATCTAGCTGAACCCAAAACCTACTTTTTGTAGGGTCCCTATAAATCCCACATTAGGGTTTATAATAAGAACCTACAAAAAAGTGGGTTTTGGGTTCTTAAGGTAGCTTGGAGTTTAATGTAGGGGCCTAAATAACAACCAATACTAGTTTGGGGGTTCCTTATTGTCGTAATAGGATAATGGGCCCCAAAACCCCTTTTTTAACTATTAAGGCCTCTATATTAGAGGCATCCAAAACATCATTTAAAGCAAATCGTCCTACGAAGTGTCTGACGTGAGTGGGGTTCGGGCGGCTGAAGACGGCAGCAGCCAGAAGACCAGAAACTTGGAGTGTAGAGCTGCTGCTTTCCTCGGCGACAAGTTCGAAGCCCCACCATCTCGGCTGCCCTTATACGCCGCTAAGCCTCGTCTTTGAGAGCCCTCAGACCAATACAGGGTGCCTCAATTGAGTTAGCAACATGATTCTTTACGGGTTCCTTCATACAACTCTAGTACAAAAAGAGCCAAAACCCCTTTTCTGTTTCTGGAGGCCACTAACTAGACTTAGAGACCCAGGAGACTTAGTGAGTCGGTTTATAAGTAGGGCGATAATTGGGGTACCTCCATTTAGGGTACTTTTAACTCTGCTTATAACTTGTTTCTGTCTATAAGGGTTATAATCGGGGTAACTCCATTTAGGGTACTTTTAACTCTACTTATAACTTGGTTCTATTTATAAGGGTTATAATTGGGGTAACTCCATGTAGGGTACTTTCAACTCTACTTATAACTTGGTTCTATTTATAAGGGTTATAATTGGGGTAACTCCATTTAGGGTACTTTCAACTCTACTTAGAACCTACTTGCTACTTCCCCTGGGGCACCCTAAACCCTAAACCCCATAAACCCTAAACCCTATAAACCCTAAACCCAATAAACCCTAAACCTTCATCTTCCCTCCTCAGAGCCGCCTCCCGCGCCAAAGATGCCATGGCGACTCCTGGTGGGATCTCTGATCGCCCGAACGTGGTGAGCTTTGGCCTACTTATTTTTGTACGGGTACTCTACTTTTGAGGTTTCTAAAAGGTCTTCTATAGAGAGGTTTCGCGGGTGTGCGGCAATGTAATCTAGGAGCCTAGGCTTAAATTGTTACTCTTTCTGTTTCTTGGGCTTTGAGTATAAGACAGTATGGGCTTAACGTAGGGGGCCTGAACAGTTACTAATGCAGTGTTTGGGGTTCTTATCCCTTGGGTGCCTTGATATTCGTACTAGAGGCTTGACATCGAAGCCGAAAAAATTGCAATACTCGTCCTTAGCGTTCCTTCTTCTAATGTACTTTAGGCTTAATATAGGAGCCTACATAGTACTCAATACTACTCCTTTGGGCTCCTTGTTGCCATGTACTACCGGCTTAACTAGTGTGAGCCTAAGCGATATAAATCCTGCATTGCTCGTAAGAAGTAATATACCATACATTCCATAGTTTAGGGTCCTTAAGGTGATGCAGGATATGTATCATTATCAGTATTATGGGCTGACTACGGGATCCGAGATACTTATCAACACTGTTCCTTCGGGCTCCTTGACATCATGTTCTACAGACTTCACGTAGGAGCCAGTCTATTCCTTAACCAGGGCTCTTTGCAAGAATGTACTGTTTCCTAAATATGGGATCCTAAATACTTATTTATGCTATTCCTTGGGGCTCCTTGTTGAAATGTAAGTATAGGTATAATACAGCAGCCAAAGAAGTTACCAATACTATTCGTGAGGGCTCCTTGTTCTAGTTATAGGCTGAATACATAAGCCTAAACAATTAAAATAACACACTTCTTTCGGAACCTGCTTATACTGTACTAAAGGGTTCAGGCGCCTGAATAAAGATCAACACGATTCCTAGAGGGCTCCTTGTTACCATGTACTATAGGCTGCATGTAGGGGACTAAAAAAATTGTGCGTAGTATTGATTTGGTTCTATTCCAGTTATCGTGCCCCCTACATGAACAGGATTGGGGGCCGAGTGCGGAGAGCTTTCTGGCTTACCGTATATAACGGATATTTCTTCAGTGACAGAGAGCTTTGAAGTCGGATACAAGGAATGAGTATTCCTGAAGTGACAGGGCCTTGCCTTGTATGCTGATTTAAGGAAGGATCCGTATTTCAGGGTGTCTTCGCTCGGTGTGGCTTTGGGGCTTAAGGTGCTTTGTTTCATTTTGGGTGCCTAAACCCTATGTAAACCCTGAGTTCGTTTGTGTTGGGTGCTGCGCTCGAGGTGTAGGATTATGAGATTCTTTGATGGACAGACTGTGACGATTTCAAATGATTATTTCTTCACTTTATCATCATTTTGATCTTCGTTTTGATCTTCGTTCCGTTTCAAATCTTCATTTCCATCTTCGTTTTGATCACCATTTTTTCTTCGTTTTCATCTTCGTTCCATTTCAAATCTTCATTTCCTTCTTCATTTGAAT